TTCATAGACGTTGGAGTCAAGCGATGAGGGCTCGGTATTAAACCGCCCGACCCTCCAACACAACAAACGATGGAAATAGGCTCGCACCATTGGGCTCCAGTGATTGAAGTAATGGTAGAATACCCGCTCATGCAACAAGAAATCCAGACAGATAGATGCTTTTCTTTCTTCTGTAGCAGTCCAGGTACCCCATATGCAGAAGAGGAAAGAAAACACTCGCACCTCGGTGAGCGAATTCTGGCTCTGCATCATTTGGCGACAAACGTCGAGCCAAAAGCCCCAATCAAACAACTCTGTTTCAATCGACTGGGCGTAACGCGTGATGATTGGAATTACCTCCTCGAGGAAGTCACACAACAAAAAGCATGCGTTATGATCAAATAGAGACGTTTTCTGCGCCGCAGCTTTGATTATACCACAAAATGATTCAGCAAACAGTAATCGAGCACGATTCGGTTCCACGGACGCTTCAGACAGGAGGTCACGGAGAAGGATGATCAGACGATTCTCTGCCATCGACCGATGGGTGTTGCTGCCACTTCGAAGATGTTGAGTGGAGGCAGAAGCATCCGGCGACTCGATGAAATCATCAAAGGTGATTGCAGCAGCTGTGTGCGGGTTGTCGGATCCTTGTTGTGCCGATTGCTTGTATATCGTGTCTTCCAGAACGAGCAGGAGTTGCGCATGAACTATCAACAACCCAGGTGCCAATATCCGTTTCGCCTTTTCGGTCCCTGGGGGCAAATACTCAGCATACAGAATGTGAATGTATTTCACGAAGACAAAAAAGAGGTCCGTGTCACGCCCGGCCCATCGTGCGATCCACGGGCGGTTCCAATTAATAGGAGTTGTGTTCAAGGGTAGCTCGGGTTTCTGGCGTAGATACCGCAATAGGGGTGCTGGTGAGTGAAACGCCAGGGGACGGAGAGCAGGTGGAAAGCACAGAGAGAGTTCTTGCGTGCATGCACGCAAATTTCCAGTGCGTGACCCGGCCGATTCTGACAAGATTCGTCGGAATGTATTGGGAGGCGTGCTCCACAGCCGAACCAGGATCTCGGGCACCCCCGGACAGAAGAAAAACGCATATGCGCAAACCTTGCCGCAAAACGCGACCAGACTAGCTGGTGCGTGTCGCATAGACATTCGTTCGACCACGAATGCCATTTGAGAGAGCAGGTTTTGGATAAAAATGTTTCGGATGTTGTGATGAATCGATTCCACTAGGAAATCCGAACCCGAGGACCCTGACCCATCCGATGTTTCTGACACAGAAGTTGACGCATACTTCAATGATTCTGTAGGCCCACTTCCATTCTGGGCCATGGGGAAGGGAATGCGCCATTCCGGGCGAGCCATGATTCCCACGATGGCTTCCAGGAACACTGGTCTATCGGTTCCCGAGATCGACTGGTTATGCTTGCCATTAAGCATTTCTAACATTCCAATCCACCATTTGTTGAGAATATTGACTCGACGATCCAGGTCTTCTGGTCTTAGATTCTTGCATGATGTGTGGAGGTGATGACGGCTGAGAAAAGGGAGGAGCGAGGTACGGATGACGTTGGCTTTCAACGAGCTAGATTTAGCTTGAAATCTGTTCTCTGGTCAGTAATCACAAGTGGGAATGGCTAAGGTGATTGCACATACTTTTGGAAATCCGCCTCAAGGCCACGGAAGATTCCCCAAAGCTCATCCTTTTTCCGTGTATGATCGGTGCCAGAATTTGCATATGCCGCAGCAGTTTCTGCGGCTCCCTTGGGCATAGGGGGTAAGACCGGGGTCGAAACAGAGAGTGATGCTGTGAATTTTTCGAATGAGGACCGGTGTCGTAGCGAATTGCTAGAAGGACTGTTTGGAGACCCGGGGTTATCCTCGGGGCCCTTGGCTACAACCGCCAGCATTGGCCGGCGCGGGCGTTTGTAAAGGATTGTTCGTCTGCGGGATGGTTGTGACTGATCATCTTCTGTTTTTCGACTGCTGAATCGAGTTGGGGATTGAGAATCTTGCTGTTTAGATCTCTTGGCTGACGGGGACGGAGATCGGGATGAAGAGCCCCATGGTTTCCTCGCAAGGCTGACTATCCTTCCAGACATTGTCCGGCTCTTGGATGGCCTTACAGCAGGCTCTGGTGCCCTGGTTTCAGGCACATGTGAATCTGCATCCTTTAAATCCTCCGATGACGATAATGTAAAACGAGAGACGGGGGCAGGCTTTGACTTGTCCTTGGATCGCAGAGAGGTTCGGCGGAGAATATCCTTCCCCGCAGCCACGGTTTCCTTTGTCGGCGATTCTGCCAAAGTTGGGACAGCATAATCAGAAAACGTACGTCTTAAGACGGGTTCTGTTGTGGTTTGACTGGGAAGATCGGTATAGCTGGCGGCACGAGAGAGCTCGGGGTTCTGGTCATCGTTCGTCTCGGGGGATGGCGAAGACATTGTCTAGAAGGTAAAAGGGGGGCAAATCGGTTATTACGGGGATTTATTGGTCATTTCCCCTTAAACCTCAGGATTCTGAGATTCTGAGCGTAGAAGAGACCAGCTCCTCTGTGCACCAGGAGATTCCGGGTCGTCGTGATCAGGCGCGCTGCATCTGGGGAACGGCAAACAAAGCAAAATCACAATGCTGAAATGCCGACTTTTAGAGGAAATTAGGTAGCAAGAGGTAGAAGTAGAGAGACAAAACAATAAGATTGAGGCCAGGAATAACGGAGTTTCGGGGGTGGATAGATCGTCTATGCAGCCGCTTAGAAAGGGCGCCACTCTGATTCAGCAAGTGATCGGCGGGGGAATCTCCCCCAAGGGCGTCTGCACAAGGGTCCGGGAAAGAGGGTGGGGGGGATAATATCAAAAGGAAGTGAGGGAGAGATAGAAGAAGAAGAAGGAAAAGGGAGAAAAAGAAAACAAAATGGTTCCCAGGGGGAAACATCCCCAAAGTCTACTCCGTACATATTTATTTTGATTATTTTGTCATTTCTTGTTAATTAACTCGATACACCTGGGCATTTTTAAACGGATTTCATGTATCTTATTATCTTATTATAATCTTATTATTATTCCCGATTATACGAGCAATGTATATTCTAATTTTATATTATTAAAATCAGTTCCCCTTTAGTTGAGACATCCAAGACCTATTTTTCTCTTTTACTCCACTTTATTCTTCCACGGATCTCTTCTTCTGCTTCTTCTCTCTGTAGCCTGTAGCCATCATGATCGCGTAATACTAAAACAGTCTCACGGTGTCAGCTCGAGTCCATGGTCTCCGCATGCAACGCCATGCAGTAAGTCTGATTTGTAAAGACATTGGGCTCTCTCCAGGGCTGTTCAGCCCCAATTGCAAGGTCTTTACAGGCGATAGGGCCAATGGCATCCTCTCCGGAACATAATAGGGTAGAATTCACCGAGTGGGCTATGACAGCTGTACATCGGTACAGATCTCTCGTATTTCATTCTTGGCTATGGAATGTTAGAATGCCCTGTGTTCCGATGGCATCATTAACATTAACCCTAATTCCCTATTATTGTCACATTCCTTATTCCTTTACAAATTCTATGATGTTTCCCCATGATTCATATGGACTGTAAAAAAGAAAAAAGAAAAAAAAGAAAGAAAAAAAAAAAACATTGCTTTCCACGCGAGATCTGGATCAGGCTCAAATCGATTTCCAAAGGATGGGGCTAGTTCCACTACCTGTCATAATTTGTCCTGCAGGGGGGATGAGTGATAAGGCGCTTACAAAGTATATCACCTTACGGAGTACAGATATAGCCTTATGAATGGCGATATATTCGCAGGTGCCATACTTTATAATTTTCGAGATGTATCTAAGAGTTCCCGGGGACGAGTGCCCTGTTGACACACCATGAATCACATTGCACAAGCTCTTGGCGACCAATGTTTTCATTGCGCCCCCTGCTGGGAAAATCAGGACCCAAGTTGAACAACAGTGGCTTGGGGTGGAGTAAGTATACAATCATAGTGCAATGGTACTTGAATAGTCTTGTTTTATTGAACTTTGGCTTTTGCTTTGCCAGCCATCCTGGTTGATCCCTCCAGGGAAGTGGATGTCAAATTCTACGGGAAAACAATGAATCTGAGAGGTATTCAACTCGGAGAATGTGGTAATTTGATATATCAGATCAATTGCAATACTTTCATGGACTTCCGGTGTGTTCGTTAGTTACATGTTGATCTACAAGGTATCGGTTGCAGCGGTAGATCCAATAATTTAGTACCAATACTTCTCTTACATGAACATCAATACTTCGCATATACTTCTGGACTACCGGATGACTTATTGCATGAGCATGACAATAAGCCTGCTTAAGCAATGCAGATCATAATTTGTAACCCAGCAGTCCCATGTCATGTTCCAACCAAGCTATCTGTTTGGTTCATCTTGCCCATACATATCAAGCGATCTGCCAACTACTCTGTACTAACGGTTGAGTTCGTGGCTTAGTCTCGATAGGCACATGCCGCATTGATTACCCACAGCCCTTATCATCATGGTTGACTACTTGGGGTATTAGGATTCGGTTCCGTGTGCTGCCTGTACCGTGTATTCCATCACAGTTCAACCACGCAGTTCAGCCATTTAGATATCTTCTACTTGGTATACCAGTATTCTTGAAATAATGAATTGGATACTACTCCGTACAAGCCCAGCTCTTCACACTCAGCTGAAAAGCTGAAGATCTCATGAATGACCCTAGCTTAAAGTGTACCTGCTGAACTTGCCAAAGACTTGTCTTTGGTATCCCAGCCACCCCGCATAACTCTTCCTAACCGAAAACGTTTATTCTTTAAGTCCTATCCCGGACAAAGACAGAAAAGGTGAGAGTCAAGGAAAAAAAGAAGTCTCAACGTTCAAAAATGTGGTCTAATTTACAAGCTTCAGGACCTCGAGAGGCGGCCACATTAGTTGCGTCGCAGGCATTTAAAACCGGCCTTCCCTCCATATCTCCCCAGACCTTGCTAAATGAAAAAGAAAGAGGAATTTAGTGGGCAGCGGGGGCCTCCTCTTCCTCCTCGAACCAGCTCTCCTCGACGGGGGCGGCCTCGCCAGCGGCGGCCTGGCCCTCGACCTCGACCTCCTGGCTCTCGTAGGCGGACAATTCGCTGGCAAGGTTGGCCTCCTCGGGAGACTTGGGGGGGCTTGGGGGCGGTGAACTTTTGGACGTGCTCGTCGGCGTCACCAGCCTTGATGGGGGTGGGCTTGTAGGCCTTGAGCTCGCGGAGGTACAGGTCCTGGACGGGGTCGGCTGCGGCGAGTTGCGGGTTAGCGATGATGCGATTGATAGATGTAGCAGAGTCTTCTGGGTCATATCGAAGATAGCCCCCAGGTAAAGTACATACCCTGGCGGACGGCGGAGGTCAAGAAGGTGCGGCGAGCGACCGAGACCTGAGCCCGAGAGGCACGGGAGAAGAGGGTGCGCTGCTTTTCGCGTTAGTCAATGGTCGAGATAAACAGCTGTAAGTCAATGAGCACTCACCGAGGCCCGGAGAGACTGAGACATCATCTTGAGTGAGGGTGTAGATGAAGAACGAGGGGGTGGTTCTCAATAGAATAGGTCTGATCCGTCTTTCCGTGAAGTTGGAGGTTCAAACGACTTCTGTTCGGAAAGGTTCCTTGGCAGATGACTCAGCCGGGCCATGTTGTTCCCGGATCTTTCCAGGGCTTCAACACTACGTGCAATTATCAAAACAAATAACTACCTAGTCATCAGTAGTTTAATTTATCGATGCAAAATGATACTTGATCAAGTTTGTTACATTCAAATATGAACGGTATGTTATCTATGGGAACACAGGACACACCTCTAAACCGACTTGTCTGCACAAATTCCCGAGATCGCCCGTATAGAGATGTCTGAATCTCTTGACTTTATCATTTGCTCTCATATATCGATAGAGGTTGATCTAAAGTTTCATTGTCCTTTCTCGGTATGGTCTATCTACGCCAGCAAACGAGAACAAAGAATCTTTGTTTGCTATATAAAGCTTCCTATACTTCCTCGGCCAATCAAAATACATAAACAACATCACGTGATCTACTTATTAAGCCTGATCTGGACTGCGCCTTTCTCGGGTGCCGCCTATTGAAGCCTCACCTCATCCCATCGTTTCCCTGTCTCATCCTCCCCCAGTCCTTGGCTTCTTCTTTCTCTCCTCCTCAGCCTGTCGCCATTTTCGTGAGAGACTTCTTGCGGAGACCTTGACTGGTTCAACACGGCTGGACAAGCTGAGGCGAGATTTCTGTTCCACTTTCGATCCAAGAAAGCGCAGACTGGTGAAGGGTTTTCTACGACTGGGGGTGACTCCTTCGAATCCTGAGGGCTCTGGCCTGTGAAAGGTAATGAAAGCCTCTTTGTTCGAGTACCTCTTGGCATGATATTGTTAGCGGTCAAGGGCTAGCCAACGTTGCGATATGAGAGACAATGGATTTGCTTTGGGCTGAGCTAACATCACTGCGCAAAAAAGTGGCCTTGAGCGACTCGCTTTCTTTCATCGACCTTTTCCCTTGCTAAGGGATCCTCCGCAAGTGGCCCGCTTTCGTTCCTCGCTACAGCCGCCAAGCTGTATTCGCCACTTCTCCTTCGCTATTATAATCGGAAATACAATCTACCTCGTATAGCACCTAAAGTTCTCGCAAGACGCTGCCACAATCGGTACACAAGTTACTTGAAAACTCAAAATATGGCTACTCCCGCTCTTGCGAAACCCGAGGTCGCGGCTCCTTGGAAGAAAAACCTGTCCGCTCATCTCGTTTGCCCCGAATGCAAAGAGGATCCCCCCAACCTAGAATTCCCCGACTCCCACGAGACAGTATGCGGTTCTTGTGGACTTGTACTCGCAGACCGTGAGATCGACTTGCACTCTGAATGGCGTACCTTCTCCAACGACGACCAAAATAATGACGACCCGTCCCGTGTCGGAGACGCTTCGAACCCTCTACTCAACGGCGCTCAGCTAGAGACTTCCATCGCAAGTGGAGGCTCTGGCCGTGCCCGCGACCTGTACCGCGCTCAGAACAAGCAGTCTGGTGAAAAGGCCAACAAGGCCCTCCTGGCAGCTTACAAGGAAATCGGTGCTCTGTGCGACGGTTTCAACATCCAAAAGACTGTCGCCGATACCGCCAAGTATCTCTTCAAGATGGTCGACGACGCCAAGGCCTTCAAGGGCAAGTCGCAGGAAGTCATTATTGCTGGTTGCATCTTCATCGCATGCCGTCAGTGCAAGGTTCCTCGTACCTTCACCGAGATCTTCGCAGTGACCAAGGTCACCCGAAAGGAAATCGGTCGCATCTACAAGGCTCTGGAGAAGTTTTTCACCACGCAGAATGTGGAGCGCCACAATGCTGCTTTGGAAAATGGCGAAACTCACGACTCTGCTGGCGATTACAACGCGACTACTTCGACCAAGCCAAGCGACCTTTGCAATCGTTTCTGCAACCTTCTCGACCTTCCTTACCAGGTCACCAGTGTTTCTGTCTCCCTTTCAGACCGCGTCACCGCCATGGGCGATTTAGCTGGACGTTCTCCGCTGTCTATTGTTGCAGCTTGTATCTACATGGCTTCGTTCCTTATGGGCCACGGCAAGTCTGCCAAGGAAATTTCCCAGGTTGCGCATGTCAGTGATGGAACCATTCGTGGTGCTTACAAGCAATTGTACGCGGAGCGCGAGCGCCTGGTCGACCCTGAATGGATCAAGGGTGGCAAGGGTGACATGGGCAAGCTGCCTGTGAGCTAAACGGTACATCAGAAAACAACATTTACATTCCTGACCCATTGGTCATATTCAATCCCATGAAAGGACGACATGACCAAAGCAGTCTATTTGTGGAGCAAGTCTGTCGAAAAAAAAAAGAAGAAGAAAAAAAAAAAACACGCATGGCTGTCTTTGAAACGTCAATCATATTACCTCGCTACAATGTGCTTAGGATTTTATCTTTGGTGGATATTGGCTTTGGGACAAGCCTAGGGACTACCTTGATTTGTACATCATCATAGATAGGTAGATTGAGCAACAATCAATCATCTTCCTATGAATTTGCTGAATGTAGATGTAGCCTGAAAAGATCTAGGTCATCCTGGCAAAACACCTTGCGGATCCCAACAGGCGCCTCAACGACGAACACACTGAGCACCTAAAGCTGAATGTTACCAATCGGCCAACTTGGGCTTTCGGCACCGCAGACCCTGACCCAGTCACCGGCCCGAACCTCACCAGCGTTATCGCAGCGAGCGCGTGACTGGCTTTTGTTTAGATATCTCGAGGCGGCACGGCCCGTCTGTAGTCTTTCTAGTAAAAATGACTCAGGTTTCTTGAATACCTTTAGGATCTCACTTGTCGACTGGGTAAGTATATATATTAACTTTGATAAGGCTGACTATATATCTCACTAGTTCTACATTCGAATGCCGTTCTGCAACATTTTATGTAGTCGATATTAACGCCTATGCTCTAGTTACAACACCAGCAAGAATAGAAATATCTAAACAAAGGTCATAAAAACGACCGGTGTAACGATGTGACAAGGCCACCAATGTGGCCAACTATTCTTGTAGAATGATGAATAGACCCAGAGAACATAGAATACAAAGCTCATAATCAAAATACTAAATCTCAGTGTACAGAGAAAAGCCTTTCATCCACAGCTCCAAAGTAGGCGCCTAAACCCAGAAGCCCCAAAAGAAGAATGGTGAACCAGCACCATGTGTATCACCAGGATACCACACAAGGAATCAACCTAGCTCTTGAAAGCAGGTTTAACTGTGCCATCATCAGCAGTGGAGTTATACGGCTTATCGTACCGCTCCTCCATCTCCTGATTGTGCTTCTTCACGTCCTCGGGAATATCCTTTTTCGGGTTCCCCTCTTGGTCTGTAAGAGGCGACTGCTCTCCCTCGTTAATAGTGGGCTTTGCTTTATTGGAGGGGATCGGGCGATTGGGCGAGTCTGGCCGGTGGGTTGTGGTCGTTGCTTGTTCGGGGTCATTTGAGGATTTGGTCGCGTAGCCTCGGTATAAGGAGGTGCGAGATGTTTGAGTTCGTGCTGCAGAGAGAGCTGTAACTGGGGATCGGCCCTGGAATGGGATCTTTAGGCGCATAAAGGTTGTCATTTTGGATGTTGAGGAGTGTTTTGGTTTATAGGATTGTTGAAGGAAGTTGAATATGGACTGCTCCAAGTGGAACTCAATTCTTTATATACTACTTTGGAAGTCAGTCCCCTGTAAAATCAGGTTTCGAGGGATTGGCAATTGCCATGTCATTTAGCGATGACGTACTTCGATGTCATACTGGACACGCCAAGAGATTCGTTCGACAACTTTATCTATTTTTATGATTGTAGTAGATTGTAATATATTGCAGTGTGTGATAGGGAACATTCTAGCTTAGTTTGGACTTTGTTTTGGCTCCCAATTGTTAGATTTTACCTCACTGTCTAGAGAGAGTCCGATCCATTGAGCTAGCTCTAACAATACTTTCGGCGGCTGCCAGTGAATCTTGGCATGTAGGATTCAGCGATCAACATGAATAGAGGGTAACAATACAGACCAACCAATGCCCAGTATCAACATAACAATAATAACATTTGGTGTCTTTGCAATTGCCGAAAGTCCTTCGGGGTGATGTTAGAGCATGCAATCAGCTCGAACATCACCGTGAACGCCCATAAACACCTATTTAGCCCAACGGACAAAACAACCACATGCACATGTAAAGAACATTGAAAGCAGACCGACGCTCAATGTCCGAAAGAATAATCGAATGGAGTTCAGAAAGCAAAGAAAAAGAAACAAGTGGCAGAATGTTAAGCATCATGCCAACTTGATGTCTGGAACCGTGTCTTGGCCGGGCTCTGATGCATCGACATCAGATGTGCTCTGGGAACGAGATGGTCGTTTCTGGAGGCCTTCAGCTGCAGTTCCTCTGGATTTTTCTACTGCAGCCGGGGTTGACTCCGATGGTTGCCCGGAAGAACCACCATCGCAGGTACGGGATTCGTGGGAGCTGAATAAATCGCGCTGCTGTTGCCTCTGAGCAAGCTGTGAGTCATCAAGTGCGTCTTGTTGACCGCATACTGTCTCGTGTCGCCGATATTTAGGTGGAGGGACTCTCTCGTGTGACCTCTGGTTCTTTCGCTTCGGGCTAGGGGAGTTCGTTTGCTGCGGATTAACGTGAGACGGAGCATTTGAGACACCGCCAGGATTCCTCGGCGCCATTTGTGGTTCCTGTTGTGGTTTAAATTGGGACTCCTGTCGCTCCGATTCTTGGGAAGGCCTGATATGAGATTTCTGAGGTGGTTGTTGTCGTTTTCCCCGCGTCCCAGAGGCCTTATTGGGAGGACCAGCCAGATGCCGAGGGGATAGGGCCTCGATCATAGAGCTCGTAACAGGAAAGGTGTGTTCAAATGCTGTATCCAACAGGTCCTTGTCGGCAAACTCTACCTTCTGGGATTTCAGCTTGCGCCTCAGTTGCTCTCGCTCAGACCTTATCACTCGGTCTCGATGTAAACTGGATGTGGCCTCCGACCACTCACGTTCGCGCCTTTCCGGCAGATGCGTTGTGGCCATTGGTGTCAACTCAGTAGCATGCGCTTGAGATTGCTGTTTAAGACTCTGCTGAGGCGGGCGGGGTGCCACTGGGAGCTTTGTAGGCGACGCCGGGGCCGAATTATCTTGCTGCCGGGGCACCACAGGGGGTGCAGCAGATTGGGAAGCCGGTGCAGACCACTGATTCTGCAGTTCATCCAGCAGTTGAATATTAGCACAGGTGGTATAGATGCCGTTGAAGATGAACGGGACTAGGTTCGGTGGGACGCCAGCGCGCAGGGCATCGGACAGTATCAACTGCTCGATGCGCCGCTGTTCCAGCACCAAACTAGCCTGGTGTGTTTTTTCTTCCTCCTGCTTGCGCCGGTCTTCTTCAATTTTGGCATGCAACCGCATCTTCATGTCCTCTGTGAGGGGAGTCGACATTGTCTGTGGAGATGGCAGGTCGTTGTGCCCGGATGGCGGGACCAGATATTGGGGTGGGCTCATTGTGTGATTCAGGGTTGTCGGGGATTCCTCAATTGAAGGCCACAGTACTTTTTGAAGAAGCGACTGGGTGTTTGTTTTGGCAGACTCATGGGGTTCCTTAGTACCGTTCATGCGCTTGGAGGGGGTTAAGGTGCGCTTCATGTTGGCAGCAGTGCAACAACACTTTTGAATTGCATAAACACAGAGGATGACAGGAAGGCCCGCGCGTTGGATCACACGATGGTTATGCAATGACCTCTAGTAGAGAGGCAGGGAGATGGGAGGAGAGAAGGAGAGAACCCCAAGTAGGAAACGACAGAGAGTTTAGGGCATGCGGTTACCTCATTGAGATGTCCCAGTGCAGGGCTTTATGTAGAAATAATGAAACTCCCAGATCACTATATACATAAGGTAAAGCAATGAAACTGCAATTTGCTGAAAGACCTGGGTATACTTACTTCATTTGGATTCTTTGGAGCCGACATCGAATGGCCCAAGACTTCTCCGAGCAAAGGCCAATCAATGCCATTCGCATGCCTTCATCGATATGTATTCAGCGTCTGCTCTCGTCCATGGGTGTTCTTTCCAATTGAGAGTCTATTATGAGGTAAGAGGAGCCATCTTCCTACGGTTCACCTGCGAGTATAAACCCCTCCCCTCGTCCTGGCTGAGAACATCAATAGGTTAACGTGGCCAACGCTTGAGCTATTGAGCTGTTGGTTATGTAGATGAAATTCATTTAAAATATATACTCGGCGCATCGGCAGATGCCCACATGGAAGCCACATCTAGATATCCCCCATGCAAAAAAAAAAGAAAAAGGGCACAAAGGGTATCCTATCGCTGCATTCGCCATCTTTATCTCTCCGCCTCGAGCCCGCACTCGTGCATACCCGAGCGACTATATCTCAGCAAAGGGGGCAGGTCGCACCATCAAAAATCCATGCTAGAATGCTAGAGGGAAAGTGAAGAAAAGGCAGTCATCATGCCTGTTTTGTTTTATACATCACCGCGATCGAATCGACTCAGGACTTCGGGCGGGACTGTGGGAATGTACTTGCGGGCTCGTTCACGGTTCGTGCCACCGAAGCCGGCGCCGTAGCTGACCAGCATATCTGTACTGGTTGGAAGGGAGAAGGGGAGGAAGAGGGTTGGGTCGACAAAGACACTATTGCCGCTACCGGGGCGCTCTTCGTTTTTGGTGGCCACCATGCTTGCACGTCGGGATGATACACCAGCGGAGCCTGGTGATAGTCCAGTATCAGGAGACGTGGGTGCTGCGGAGGACTGCTCCTTGGATGGTGTCTTTGGACGGGCATCTGCTGCTGCTTGGGGTCCTAGCCCAGCGTCTACCTTTGCCTTCTCTTCTTGAATTTCCAGTTGCTCGCGGTATAGAACTTCGGGGTCATTTTGCATGTCGAGAAGGAATTTCATTGCTTGCTTAGTCAGGCCTTTCTCGCCTACTTCTGGGCGGTATGACTTGACTGCATGTAGGAGCTGGGCGGGGGTGAGTTGTTGGAGTTGGAGCAGGGTTGTTACGAGAGATTCGTGGTCATCTCCGAGCGACGAGAAGCATTGCAGCCATTGGAGGAGTTGAATGACCGGGGCTAAATGTCGACGAGCGGCGTCAATTGTAGACTCTCCGGTGCTGTTTGTAGATCCATTTTCGTAATGTTCTGGCACACGGTTGTTCGTGCGTGCCCAATCCTCCAATGATGAAACGTTCATGCGGATCTGCATTGCTTTTGTGCGCGCCAAGTAACGTTTAGTGCTCATGATTCGGTTAAATATCTCGGCACTGAGCCAGTAGAGAAGTTGGGAGAGGATCTGGGTCGTGATCACCGAGTGAACATCATAGAGGTCAAGTACAAAGAGGGTCGATGATAGTAAAGAGGTGATGTTCCGGGGCGAGATTTGTGCTCGTCGTCGCGGGGATGGAGGCCGGAATCGCTTCTCGTCAGGCTCGGGGTTTTTACTTTTATTTTTGCGGAACAACTTCCACTCGTTTTGAAAGGCAATATCTTCCAGTCCAGGGATGGTTTCATGGTCCAGCATTGCGGCATCCAGGACTTTGTTCATTCGGCGCTCGGCGTCACGAATGACGAGAACGAATATCTCGTTGATCAGCTCCGCTAGATGGAGCTGGAACTCGACGGTAGATTCCACCAAGCCCCCATCCTTCTTCAAGTAGTGAAGCAGAAGCGTGGCATTTGACAACCAAAATGCTTGCATTGTCATGTCCCACTGGTGACGTTCTACAACGTCATTAATCTTCTCCATTGCGGATGATAGCAGGGTTGTGAGCAGCTCGGGGCTGGCATGATAGTGCGCGTAACGGGCACTGAGGAAGAGAAGATTTGCAGGCACTGGCTTTTGGGAAGGAGACCGCTGGGGAGTCATGTTGGTGATGATGATATCCAAAATGCGCTCTAGCTCATGATCCTGGAAGACAAACATCTGATCATTCAGACACTTGTCCCAGACAAATTCCTGCTGATCTTCCTCAAGCTCATCTTCATCAGATGGCTAAAGGATTAAAGAACTCAAATCAGTCAAGGTTGAAACTTTATTTTCATGACATAAACTAACCTCGAATTTCTCGTCAAGTCCTAGACTGGACAAATCAACCTCCAGGTTGATTGCGCTCTCTTCCATCATCATTCGACGCTTCATCTCACTCTCAGCTAGCTCTTCTTCGAAACGGCCATGCGCCAATCCAGCATCATAGAAGTCATCGATATTACCAGAGCCAAAGCTGTAACCATTTTCATGTAAATATTCGGAAATCTCACTGCCGGGCTGGGCGAAATCAAAAGCCCTACCACCGGATGACGACTTGATATCCGGTGATGCGCCGTTATCAAGAAGGATCTTCGCTATCGTTTTGTGTCTGTTGGTCATAGCCCACATCAGAGCGCTCCACTGGTTACGATCTTGTCTGTCGACGAGGGCACCGGCGACAATGAGCGCAGAAACGACTTCTTGATGGCCCTGTTATAAACCGTCAGCCTCGTGCCAATATTTTGCATATGGGGAAACTGACAAAACAACTAGCATAGATCAACGGCACAGTCCCCTCCTCATCGGGCTTATTGACATCGACGTAGGTCCTCGCCTGGCCCTGGACCAGTTTGCGCACGCGCTCCACATCGCCATTACTGGCTGCCATGTTCAAGCTCTTCTGTAGTATATCACGCTTCTCGTCATCGGTCAATTTCTCGTCGGCGGCAATTGTCTCTTCGTCTGCGGTAAGCGAATCCACCTCCCGATGGGCAGCTTGGGCAGCAAGCATCTCCATCAGCCGTGCGTCACTATCTTCAATATCGCGCCCATATTGAGCCCGCAGTTCGTGTTCATTGTCGTGTGAATGATCGTCGAGGGCTAGGCTGAAGGATAAGGGTTTTGCGGCGACTGGCGCGGTCAGGTATTGTGATTGACCTGTTCAACGATTAGACCTTAATGCTTGAACCCCCAACACAACCAGTAAATTTTCCAGTATGTAAGTGTTCAAGGGGAAATCGTTTGATCTCCCGCGTCGGGGAAACGAGGAAATGGTTCCGCGGACACAAGAGCACTCACCTTGCCAAGCATCGTACATCTCAGTCTCCGGCTGGAAGACTGGGACGGAGCGACGATCGTCCAGTGATTTGGGTAAGTCATCTGGGAGTTCCTGTTTAGCTTCGTGGAAGGACGCGGGGCTGTGGTCGCTGTAGTCATTGGAGTCGATGGGGTCCTCTGAAGCCCCGCGCCGCGGTTCGGTCGTGTCCATCGTGGCGGGCTGGCTATCCGGTAGAGTTGTGGCGGGACATCAAAAGGTTTGAATTTGGGAGGAGGTCGAAGAAGCCTCTCTGGGGATATGTTCTCTAAGGAGGGTACCCTCCACGCGTGGAAATTGGGTGTTGGAGGGAGGTGGTGGTGGTGATGAGTGGGTGATGGATTTGGTGTTCCGTTCCTGGACCAGCTCCCGCGATGCGGCCCCGAAGATCTCGGGGAGATATGACGCAGCTTTGTAATACCTCCGTGATATCAAATGTTGGGGGTGTATGGTACTAATGTTGAAGCCAACGAAGGCATATAACTTGGTAGGTTGCTCTTATCTTTTGTTTTGGTTGGAATCATTATTTCTTCTATTAGTATGTAGTACGTAGGTAGCAAGCCCCTATTCACTACAAAAATATTCACTTTAAAATACTATTTCCCATCCATACAGCATCATATGGGACTAAAATCTATTACTGACTTTGATATAAAAAAAATATTTCCGACGCTAGAGAGTAACCCGTGAACGGCACAAGCGACTCTGACAGATTGGGAATGACCAGAATGTGCATAATAATTGCTGTCATTATAGGCTAGTAGGTATATATATATGTAAAAAAAAAGATCAATGGGGACGTCAGGCAAAGAGCGAACCTTGAACCGCCTAAGCGACTCTAACGGATTGGCAATGGCAGCGGCGTTCGGGGATTCTCAAGATGTTTGAATGCCGACAAGTTCAAATGCGACATGGGTGGGATGGCCAAGGTATGTACAAGGCTTGTTGTCATTATGGAGTGGTAGATCCAAGCAGGCGTCTCCATTCATATGGACTGCCCGGTCCGGCACCAACAAGACAAAAAAAAAGGAGTTCCAAAACGAAAGGTATTAACCAGATGCAAGTATCGGTACAAAATGGTAGAGGGACAAAGCAGCCTCTGGAAAGGGGGTATAAACTATCCAATCACGGATGTCAAGGTTGTTGTACAAAAATGGATATAGAGATGCAACCAAAAGGACCAAGGAAAGCGAGGGTGAAAAACGAGAGATTATTCAAGTGCTTTGCTCCGGGATTGTATTTCGTCTTCGGGGAGACAAGCAATCCACAAGCACCGTTCGATGATGCCCTGCACGGGCTCAAACTTATATTTTGTACTGGCGTCAATGAGACGGAGGAGGCTTTTAACAATTCGAGCTGCAGTGCGATAGCGCTCGAAGTTGACAAGTAGACCGCCATTAGTGCTGTTGACCTGTGCGGGTTTCTGTGCATTATAAGTGAGGTCATGAACATAAAGGCCTGGAAAGAAGGGCAGAAAGAATTAGCAAATAAGATCTAGCGCGATATTGAAGCAAACGGGTTCAAAACTCACCGATGAAGGGAATACAGCCTTCTTGCAAGTTGGCCG